AATCCTCGTGGAACCACAGTGGGTGATATACGTCTTTGGCTCCGTCTACTATGTTAGTAGGGTCAGTGGTAAGGGCCTGATGGTCACCTACTAACATCTACATCAATGTCATGGTGTTCTATGATGCATAATTTGGCCAACATTTGGAAAAACCTGATGGGACCTTTTGTAAACGTTTTCTGAGATGCTGGAAAACCTGATGCAGTTCTGCACAGGAGAGCTGAGACTAGATGGAGTTCTTATATGCTATCAGGAAAACAACTTCTACTAGAAAATAAAAGTTACCCGTCACTAATGGGGACATTGTTATTGGAAATGATGCTTTTATTGACAGGGGACAGCCCCATATTCCATCTTCAAATCTAACATGACTCAAATCCTATTGACTCCCAATTATTCATCATTTATTTCAGTCGGGACTAGCTAAATTTTTTTAAAAGAAGAAAAAATGAAGGAGGGCAGAGAGGGAAGGAAGGGGGGAAAGAGGGAAAGCGGATGGGAGGATAAGAGAGATAAAAAAATATAGCTCTTAAAGAAAATCTTCAATGGACTTCTAGTGATGAGAAATCTGAGAATGTTCCCACATGCTCAAGTATTTGAGCCCCAGTAACACCTCCAGACTTGTCTGTGGTGACAGTGTAGAATTGGGAGACACAGTTAGACCCAAGATCTAAGCAGACACCCCACCCAACCCCATATGATGCTGCTGAATGTCACCCAGCCTCAGGCAGTTCCTTCTGCCCCTGTGAGTAAAAGACTACGAAATTTTGTTATCTCGGGACCAAAGATTTTTATTTTCAAAATTTCAACTATAAACAAAAACAGGCTGTGTGTGTGTGTGTGTGTGTGTGTGTGTGTGTGTGTGTGTGTGTGTGTGTGTGTGTGTAGGAGAGAAAGAGAGAAGGAGATTGTCAATGTTCACTGATCTTGTCAAATTCCACTTCTGGGGATGTGAGAATGAGGACACGGCATACAGAGCCTTTGATGAGACGCTTAATAACCGTGAGGAGTGCTGAGATGTCTTGACACAACCACAATCAGTTCTGCTCCCTTCCCTTAAACAAAGCTAGGAAGTGCTGTCACTTGTCATCAGTACTCCATACGGTACATAAAGATGCCAACAGATAAGCAGTCCTTCCCTACTTGAAAAAGAGTACAGTGCTACATCTGGTTGCTTCTAGTAGCTTTCTCTACCGTCTTCACTATTCTGGAATGGTGGCTCCAAAAATGGAAATGAACTCCAGAGTCTGGATAAGGATGGGTCCCCAGAAGGAGCAAGAGCTCCTCGGACTTGTACAAAAGGACTTTATTTTAAGGGAAGACAACACAGCTCTGCGTTTCTTCAGCCCTGATATGCTATCATGGTCACACTTGCATTCCCCCTTCTTCAAGATGCTCTCAGAAAAGGGTAACCAGAGTCGCTAGGAGCCAACTTCAAATGGTAGTAATATATACCATTTATCGAGCATTTACTATGTACCAGATCCTGTACTAAGTATACTGTTCCACTTAACCTATACAACATTTAAAAGTTCTATATTATTAATCTCATTTTACTGGGAAACTGAGGCTTAAAAAAAAGACAAATCATTTGCCCTGGGTCATTCAGCTCATAAGAATCTTAGGGTGTGTCCCTCCAAAATCCATGCCTTTAGCCAGTATTTACTATACTTGGAGGAGAAGCAGGACAATTTGTCAGAAGGAGCCCTGGGTTTGCATTCAGAGCCTTTGCACTAATTAGTTGTGTGATCTTTAACTTCAACAAGCCTCTGTCACTTTGTCTTCAATGTTGGAATAATCCCTGCCTTTCTCCAGGGATTGAAGACAGTCTCAACACTTGTTGCTAAACTCCAACAAGTTCATTTCTCTTGCCAAATTTCCTTGTCCATCTCTTCAAGGTCAGGAACGAGAAGTTCAGTAAGATACAGACGGTCTAAAACTAAATTTAGAAGTTATGTTTTTCCCTTCACATTTTTAAATTTGCTTTTGTGTAACTGTTTGGGGAAATATGGATTCTAATAACTGACAATGAATTCTACTAACACTAAAAGCTATCAAGGTCGGGTGCGGTGGCTCAAGCCTGTAATCCCAGTACTTTGGGAGGCCGATGTTAGGGGATTGCCTGAGCCCACAAGTTCAAGAACATCCTGGGCAACTTGGCAAGACCTCATCTCTACAATACATCAAAAAATTAGCTGGGGTGGTAGCATATGCCTATATTTCCCACTACTTGGAAGGCTGAGGCAGAAGGATCTCCTGAGCCCTGCAGTTCAACACTGGGGTAGCCATGAGCATGCCACTGCACTCCAGCGTGGGTGAAGGAGTGAGACTCCAACTCAAAAACAAAAAACTATCAAGACATGAAATTACTCAACCAAAATAGGGGATCACACAGTATGTGCTCAATAAATAACTAAAGGAAGGCCAGAAAACGGGCTAGCAGGCAACTGACAACACTGGCCTTTCCTCTGGATCTTGCTTAGTGATTAGCAAGATAGTTGCTATTCACTTCCTATGCATGGGGTTAATTGGTTCTTTGAGTTGCTAGCAAATTAATTTGCTCAAAGTTATTTAATTTCACTCTATCAACGATGAAAAAAGAACTGAAAAGCAACGCAGTGATAAATAGTCTTAACTAAACCATAATATGCCATAGTTTGAACAGCCTCTGATTTTTCTCAGCTGCTAGACGGGCCTCTTATGTTCTTGAAATTCCAAATTACTTAGTTGAAGCAACACACACACACACACACACACACACACACACACACACACACACACACTCCTACAGAGCTGATATAAAAAAAGACACTGCAAGTAGTAGCTAATAAAATCCCAGCACACATTTATTCCTCCAGCCATCAGCTAACACAACACTGACGCAGAAAAGGATGCCTAACAACCTGCTAGTGAGGACTTTGGGGAGCTCTTGGAAAGACACACACAGAGATCAAGCAATGAAAATAAATTTATGATGGTGTGGTGAGAAGCTGTTTGAATGAAGAAAATAAAAGATAGTAAGTCATAACCGGAAGATCCCTAGCCATACAGTGTAGATGTGGAAATACATAGAAAATGAAATATTCATCATCCTACACGAAACGCACTTGTAGCTGAAGTTCTGTAACAGAATCACAGAATTAACCAATTTTTCTCCACTCTTAAAATCGCTAAGAAGAGCAAAAATGCTAATACGGATCTGTTTCAAAACTTTTTTTTTTAAACATTGGGAACATTAGTGAACATTCTTCAACCATAGGCCATCTGTAACTAAAGTCATCATGACAAAGATGACATTTCTGTTAAATCAAATGGTGTCACCATTCCAAACGTCCCCAGAACAAGCCTCTGTGCCCCTTCCTCTGATTCCACAGATCTGCAAGAACCCGAGGCTGGCTCTAGACCGGGACTTCCAGGAGCAAGAGCAGCATGAGCGCAGCATGTCTCCTTGCTGCTAGGAATGCCCATTCACACCCTTCTCCTCCCGTCCACAGTTCCCTCGACAGACTCCACCAGCTAGTCTCAAACATGGACAAAAGTTAAACTTCTAGGTGACAACTGGGAAAATCAGACACAGTCAGAAACGGGGGAGAGAAGATGTGTGTGAGAAAGACTGGGGGCAAGGAGAGGGTTAGCTTAAATCTGAGATCTCTCTCCTCACCTGTTCTCAGTACTATTTAAACTAATCATCATAGCACAGTGTTCAGATACAAAACAATTCCCCACAGAGAGTCAGAGGGTTTTGACTGAAAAGTATTACATTTTCAAGAGAGATCATTCATTTCCAATTGAGATGGTATTTCGAAGAGCAAACGCCAGGTACAAAATTGGACCCTATTAATACTCATTAGAAACAAAAGCAAATAAGCACAACATTTAATTAAACTTACTCAACAGAAGCAAGTGAAGAGAGAGGAAGTACCATGTCCCACAATATGGGAAGCCTACAGAACTCCCTGTTAATGTATTGCTTTTTTTTTTTTTAATTCTGAGAGGAAAAAAAGTAACTACAACTTCCATTGAGCACTGGATACCTGGAATTACATATGAAGTTGCACACCAAATGCTGAACCCAATAAGAGCAACTGAAGTTGACTTGGAATGTGGTTAAACGGCTTTATCTAATGACCATTAATAAATAAGATCTTTCATTAGTTGGCAGGAGGATAGTTGCTACTGGCCAATTTGATTTTCCTGAAAATGGTGAAGACTCACATGCACTTATTTTCCCCATGGAATCCCTAAAGGCCAAAAGTATTGCTCCTGGAATCAGAAATGGCCATGGAATGTCATCCTTTCCCTTCACAGGCCTCAGGTCTCCTTTCACGTGTTCCCACATTGTTTGTTTTGGATACTTTTTTATTGAAACTTTTTTGAAAGTGAAGAGTCTAGAAACCTCATGGTAAATCAGAAACTGTTCATCAAGAGTGAACATGTAAGGAGCCTGAAAAATGAAATTACCCCTTCAGGGCACATTGGGTAGCCTACACTCTGAAACCTAAAATAACCAAGGGTCCTCATTATACGGTGAAGTTATATGGAAGATTTAATCAACTGAGCTTAAGACAATGCCCTACATCTTGTTAGCAAGAAAAAAAAAAGTCAGTTCTATTGATCCCTGACTTAGACATCTACCCCATCCCCCCCATGGTAGGCTACATCTGGGCTGATTCGCTGGTTTCCCCAAACTCGGTAGAGAGAGCACCAAAGGTCAGGGGCCGGCGGCTTCACCTGCCAGGTCCTACCCAGGCTTGGAGCAGCAAGGCCCGACACACCTCACAAGTGTCCCCTCTTCCCTCCCTACTCCCAGGGGCCCGGCGTTATCTCTGGGGACTGGAAAGCACACAGACCTTCAAAAGAAAAAGAGGGAGAGCGGGCTGGCATTATATAACAACATACAGTCGATAGGGCTTCTAGAAAGCGAAAGCAGGCAGAGGAGGGACAGAGGGCAGGGGAGGCGAGGGGAGCGCGGCGTCGGGGGAGCTGCCGCCGCCACTTACTCGAAGGCGAAGAAGAGTCCGCTGGTGACCAGGATGAGGATGAGAGTCAGGTAGAAGACGCCCGTCTGCCGGGCCATCATGATCCTCCCGTTGCAAAAGAACTTGTTTCTTCCCGGGAACACCTCCCATTTCCTCCGGGCCGCGATTTTCTTCTTCTTGTGGGGCGACTCCATGGGGGAGGAGCTGTGGGTGCTGATCTGACTGTACTCGCAGTCTTTCATGGGCCCGCCGCCGCCGGGAGGCATCCACCAGGGCAGCCGGCTGGGGGCGCACACCCCCAGGAGC